AACAAGAATCATCTGCCATTTTACATTTAAACATTCACTGATGGACATATTTGCGAAAAGTAAAATTAATTCAGAAACTGCTGGTGTTCTGAATTACTATTACTAAAAAAAACCCCATTCTTACTTAATCTATGCCCCTTAGAAACTTAAAGGCTGAAAGCTTTGTTATAATTAATTTTTGGCTCGTACAATTTTAAAACTGCATCTATTAGCATTTGTTTGCCTTCATTAAACTGATGCTTTGACTCTCAGTCGGTTATCCATACAAACCCAATACTTGACAGTGCCCTCTGGTTTCTGTCAGATGACAATGTTCTTATTAATGCAACTTGCTCTGCCAAGATTAGGCCTAATTCTTCATTCTTTCTTTTCCCCAGTTTAATTTTTCGGTACCAAACACACACACTCATTTGTTTGTATTCCTATTTTTGACGGGACTTGGAACAGATTCTCTTACTTTTTCTATTTATTATCTTATACCCCACTGAAATAAAACACATGGGGTGAGAGCAGACCTGTAACGTGTAGCTTAGACATATTTAGGGTTTTATTTAAAAAAAGAACTTGACACCACAGTGATGCCCTTATACTGTATGACACATTGGTTGGGATGTTTTCTCAGGTTGTGATCCATATTGATAGAAATACAGGCCCATGCACACAGATATTCTTCTCTCTGGCTAGAATTTAAGCACGGATTCACGGATATATAAATCTTTACTGACTGATGTGTGCATGATAATGTGATTAGTTCTTGACTGTAACTTTTTGGAAAAAGGGATCAATGTGAATAGAATTCTTCTCGTCACAAGATAAGAAAAACATCCTGGTATTCTGGTTCCATGTAGTAATTACGTATGTTTTCACTAATCTCTGTAGTTCACACTGATCTCAAAGCAGAGCTGTCTGCCATAAATTATTATTTAATATAATATTGTAATATAGATAAATAATGACTTTTGTTTCTATAAAAAAGATTTGTACAAATATAAAAGTTAGAGATGTCAACATAAAAGATTTATGAGGTAGTATTGTGTCATGAGCAAAACAACATAGGTCTCACAGCTAGAAACAGTTTTGTCTTTATAAGGCTAACAATTGCAATTTTCTTTAGTCATGGGTACTGTATTAAATACTTCTGTATTGATTTTGGGGTGAAAGATGTCATTATAATAGTGCAAATGATTGATATTTTTTGTAGCACATAACTGACCATGAATCTGCTTGCATTTACTGTACAACACTGAATATAATTCAAATGAAACCTGAAGACAGTAGTATATTACTATGGGACTTCAATATATAAAACACTTAAACAATGGCCAACATTCACAGTTGGAAAGCTACTGTCACATGACTTAGATACAGCCACCAGACTCCACTCCAAATGTAATCACTTGGACAAGCATTCAATTAATATTTTCTCAGTTTCTAGTGTTTGATCATTAACATCCTTGATCCCCTTTTTACAGTATATACACCTTTAATACCTGAACATCCTGGTAATCAAATGTCATCGTTCAACAAAGTTCAAGTCTAAGTAGCTACAGATCTACAGATCATAGAAAAGCCAGAAGTGTGACCTATGAAAATCTCTGTTGTCTTGACATGTTTGTGGATTTCTAGGAAATATCTATTACCTATTATTCAGTTAAACACTGGAAATATAAATTAATCTGGAGATAATATTATTCTAGGCAGAGGATGCGTGCTGTACTTTTAACATGCTACAGACCTTCTCCCACATGATGCTCTGCTATAGTCAATGTAGTGCCATAATTTCTCATAACTCATGAAATGTGGGTGTTGTTATAGGTATAGCTGCTGCCTCACAGTCTCAGAACACTGTCTTTGTGTTCATGTGATGTGCTTACTCTCCTCATTTGTGCTGGGTGCTACAATTTCCTGCTTCCCCTCAGAGACAGACAGGCTATATTTTACTCTGTGATCCCCACTGGTGAAAACAGACAGCATGATACAACCTACCCCAACAGCTTTATAAGAGGAAAAAAACAAAGGTTGGAAACATTTTCTCACTTGCATTGATGACCTGACCAAGTGACTTGCAACATTGTTGCACAGATAACAAGCAGTGAAAGCAAAAAAAATCGATAATATGTAACAAGACAAAATGGATGGATGAATTTAAACCAGTGAGCATTCATCTAGGTATACAGAGCGCCAATCAATCATAACATAAAGATCACAATGATGAGTGCGAAGGGTACACCAGTGATAAATCCTATAGCAGAATGATACCAGACATCAATTTTCACAAGAACAATTTCAGAAGGCATTCTGTAAACACCCTCACCTTATTCCCAGATGGAGAGTATCTTTGATGCTAGAGGATACCTACTGTGGAGGTGAAACAAGACTCGATAAGCTGACAGCTGTTACAGAGCAGAAGACGTTCAGGACTGGCTCCTGAGGATTCAGTCCAGTGGTAACCATCTGGGTCTCATGAGTGGCACCTTTGCGTTTCCTCCACCTGTGACAGTTTATACAGCACCACTACAATCATGCACCATTCTCACTTGATCCACCTACACCTCTACGTCTCACCAAGCACTGTAAACTCTGTTTGCTTGATATCCCTGTGCTCAGATTCACCTTGTCCTGACCTCAAGACCGACTCAAGTCCAGTGATGATTACCAATGTGAAGTTCATGTCTAAAGACTCACTCAGAAAGAAAAAGTTACTATGGAATCAAATCCTTTAGCATTATAAAAAATTATCACCTTGTTACATTATCAGTAATATTTGATAAAATATGCCTCAGCCAGCATATCCGTGTACTATAAATCCATGTGCAATGTGTTCACTAAACATTTAACATCTTTGCGTAGGAGGGAGTGCTACAAGCATTACAGAGTTGTCAGCATTGACCTAAAATACCATCTTTTCATTTCTCAGAACCTGCAAGCGGTATGGCTAATTACTGTCAGAGTAATTCTTAGAAATCCCTGGTGACAGAAGTGGGACCCCTATTAAGAAATACCTTGATTGAAATTTGTCAGTAACATTTGATAATTTTTGCATGAGCTTAAATGATAAAATGATGTGTGATCTCAATATTTGTTGATGTTATGTAATACTCGATATGTAATGTAACAGATAAGCAAGTCAGTTTTTTCAACAGCTCAACTGAAACTAAAACAAGAAAGGGAGAATTTCACATGGCAGGGTTGTGGGTTTTCAGATCTTGCTACCACAGTTCCCACTGAAGACAAAAGGTACAGCAGAAGGTTTCAATACCTCCTCGTGACTCATGCTCAGCAGCAATAAACTGAGTGAGTTTTCTGGAGGTGGAACATGGCTATGGGCAGACATACCAGAGAGCGAGAAAAAACAATCAATAAAATATTCTAGGGCCATAGAATTAACATTTTACTGTACATTTAACATTTATTTAAAGTACCTTATTTTGAGTTGGACCAGTGTCTTAATATGAATTGGCTCTTCACCAGGCTGCAGAGAAGAAAAAAAGTCCATAGCCTGTCAGCATGCTCCCCTTTTTCTGTGAGGCATGAGCCACGGAGCTGCTGCAAGAGTGAAGACAGGGTGAAGAGAGGGGTGCAAAACGCACAAGCAAGCCAGAAAGGTGATATTTAAATGTACTGTAGGCAGAAGCAAGCCAGATTAGGGTTTGACCTCCAAAAAGTTTATTTTAAAACTCTTACCTTAAAAATGTCCGTGGTGACTGTATTTGTATGCTTCCAAGTCATTCTCTACAAACTCTTAATTTTAATTGCATTCTCTGGGTATATTTAAAGAAGGCAACCACATATTCGACTGCTAGAACTGAATTCAAATTTAGGGATAGGATTTAATTTTTCCCTCTAATAATGTGTGTGATCTTGGAACGATAAGTTGCGGTTTTAAGCTATGCCCTTTCCGTCTTGCGCCCACTTTGGTATCTCTTAGGCACTGTGGCACTCTGGGGTTGGGTTGCTGTAACAGGATCTTTGAAACAAATGCAGCCATGAAGTACAATCCAGTGTTTCTTTTAAAGTGTAGAGGAAAAAAATACCTACCCCAACAACAAAGGCATTGCTTCTCCACGAGTTTCTGTCTAGACTTATTCCACACGTCTCAGTTCATATATGCTTTCTGGCCTCTCAAAAAACTCTCCAGTACAAGTTTGTCTCTGAGGCGTTCTCTCTTTTCAAACCTTAGACTAATCTTTGTGGGTATGCAGGTGAGTGGGTACCTGCGTTGATTGGTAGGTTGGTCACAAGCTAGGATCATAGGATCTACTGCATGTCCTCAAACAGCAGGCAGACCAACAGCTGCCAGGCTCCTCTTCCCGGTTTTTAAAATGTCACCCCACCATTCGTCTCCTCTGAACTGGTCAGGTGACTGAGAACAGCAGTTCATTCTCCACAGCATTATGCTCTTCTTTTCCTGTTTCATCTTCTTTTCACATCACTACATAAAAGAAAATGCATCAGCATCACGTGCTCACAGAGGCAGATACGTTCAGGGAGCACCCTGTGATGGACTGGCATTCTGTCCAGGGTGTGCCCTGCCGTGATCCCAATGCTTGTTGGGATAGGCTCTGGCTCCAATGCAACAATTAATTAAATGAAGGAGTTAGAAAATGGATGGATGTTAACAAAGTATATTTTTATTGTCAATTTTTTTTTTATTGTAGGTACCCATATGATAAAGTGTCTTCTCAGTTTTTTGTTAATAAAGCATAGTCTACATGTTACAGTGAAAAGATCATGAACTGCTTTTCCATCTTTATACAGAAAATTCTATTTAGTTTTCTATCGGATTTTTAGCCAGTTTGATTACTCACAGCAGTAAATGCTGGTAGATCTATATTTTGCATTAGAAAATGTAACCTTAGCTTTATGGATTTAAAGAGAGGAATGAATAAATATCATGATGTGGGACACCTAACAGTGACTCAATTAGATTTGATTGCTGAAAGTGAAGGAATAGCGACAAAATCGTATTGACTCTTCATGTATTGTTTACCTTGAGCTGGTGAGGTTATAATTTTGAAGGGTCTGATCAATATGAATGAAGATTCCTAAATGACGAAGTTGGTTTTTCTCTGACCCAGGCTAAGCTGTATTATTAACAGTCGGCACAGTTATAACAGCAGCAGAGACAACTGCCAGTTGTGTCTGAGATGTTGATGTCATTTGCAGAACAATACTGTATATGAAACCTAATTCTTAATGACTGGCCTGAACAAATCGGAGACATTGATAATCTGTTCTCTCTGTGTACTCAACATTGCATGTACACGTGCAGTAATCATCAATATTCATCCCCGCAAATCTGTGTGCTTCATTAAAAAGTGAAGGCCATTTCACACCCCGAACATGGAGTCATAATGGTATCCGACCCAACCCCCATGTAACTCCTTTTCTTTCCAGATGGTTATTTCTGTGAGCAGTGGGAGGGAGTGGTGTACTGTAGGGTGATTGGTATAATTGTAAAACAGAGGGATAGGCTGGTCATGTGTTTTATGTATTGTGTCTCTTCCAATTATTGAACAGCATCTCAGCCCAATTTAAATCGGTCTCGTAGTTTTCTTGGGAGCATTTTGTCAGTGGCACAGTCTGGGATCCTGTCATTTTGTTTGTAATTGCTTCATGTGTATAAATACATTTTCCCATATATTTTTTTGTTTGACTTTTTTATTTTTGTTACGATTTGCTAGGTCAGGTTTTCTTATGAAACATGACACTCTAAGATTTATTTGTCTTGCAGGATAAACCGTTTAGATCAGGAGTTCCCTTGTCATTATGGATAATGTAGATAACCGATAACTGATAAGCATGACACAATATTATAATCTTGACTTTCCAAAATTGTGTGAGAACAGTGTGCTTAAGAGTAAAGACAAGTTATATATTTCTTACAGGTATGCCAATACATTGGTTGTAATACTAATACTGTATGTGTATTACAGCCATTATTACCACACAAATATAGTTTATTGAGGTAAGGATAGAACGTACAGTATATTTAACTCAAATGTTCAACATTTGCTCGGATAAGCATATCCAGAATATTGAATGTGATTAAAAATACAGTGCTATTGTGCTTCTAGAAATTTCAGAAAATGGTTTGTTTCTAAACTTTGAAAAGGGATAATAAAATTGTCTATCTTAATATACAACAAACAAAAAATAGAAACTGTATGAATTATATATCATCTATTAATTTACAACTGGGACATTTTGATTTTAAACAGTGAAATCACAATACAGGTGATGGAAACTTTCATGTTTACACAACCCATATAGCATGACTTTATTATCCATAAAATCCCTGAGTATCACAAATGTAAACATGCACACAGATAATTACAAAATATTGATCAAATCTAAAATATTAAATATTGTGCAAGAAAAATATACCATTATTCTTTCCATTAAAGGATGTCACAATCTGCTCTCAAATACAAATTCTTAAATCATACTTATACTTTAAATATACAAAAAATTCCTCAAAAGGAAAATCATAATTTTAGAAAAAAGCAAAAGTACTTTAAGAAGCAAAAGTACAAACTTTTCATATTTGCTTTGGTAATTAATCTCTTTTTTCACTCACCAAAATACAAAAGCAAATATAATGCAAATGGATTGATAACTCTGTGAAATAACAGAAATGCTAACTAAGATGCATATACCGTATACAGTATACAGTATAATACCTTATATTGAAATACATGTGTAGTTCTTGTTAATTTCTGTTGATTACTACCTGTCCAAGTGTGTTTATAGCTGTCTAAAGGCCACATGGTGTAGAACTGTATTATTGAGACATTCGTTCTTTCTTGGTATTCACAGAGATGACACAAGTTCATAATTATATTTAAGCACTGTGTACTGCAAATTTTCATTGCTGATTATGCAAAATCAAAACAAAAGAAAGGTGATTTTCTAATCCAATCCCACCACGTTTTCAAAACATTATACGCAAATGTGCAAATCCTCACAGCCTGTTACATATCAAGCATGCATATATATTCTTCAATGGCAATAAATGTTTGCTGAAAACACATAGCCAATTGTGAATAAAAAGGCTGTGAACAGTTTAACTTTTCTTGAAAGGTCATATTTTGTTTTAAATAAAGCAACATTTGTGTTTTTTATATAAAGATGCTTTGTCCATATTTTACTCCTATGTGAAAAGCAGAGGATAGCTTTGCATTTATGCGTCACTGTTTTTGATTGCAGCATCAGTAGAAACTGGGTTGAGTTTCAGGGGGCAATCATCTGACCAGAGGGAGTTTTCCTCTTTTTTCTTACTTGACAAGCAGCTTCCACCAGCTTTCCTCAATTTATAATGCAGATACAGTATCGCAGTGATCAGCAGCATGATGATTATGAACGGATAGATGAAGACAAAATCAAAAAGAGGCTGAGACTCACAAACAGTGGAGAATACGGTTGATTCTGAAAAAAAAAGGAAAGAGAATTAGTGAACAAACTGCTTATGCTGTTGCAGAGGAAACATTAATCCAATTCAAAAACTATATTCTCATATTTATTTGTCTCTTTCAAAGGAGTTTAACGAAATAAAACTGTTTTTTATAACAAGTGGGACCCTCTCTTCACACAAAGTATTTACTGTATGTTACAAAATTTACTTCTGCGTTGACTGCCTCCATCTTCACTGCCAGCATTTATATGGATAATGTAGATAACTGATGACTGATAAGCATGACACAATATTATAAATAATACAGGGTTAGTTTTTTTTTTAATTTCATGCTGAATAATATTTCTGCTATGGGCACACACATACAGTATATTCCTTTAGATTCCACTGCGTTATTGGTGTTTCAGCTTCTGAGCTGCAGTACTGAGCCTCTGCTGCTAAGCTGCCTGGCTGGTGCCAAGCTCATTGTGCTTCAATACTACCTTGCGCGACAGAGACACACTACAAATGGCTGTGGCATTGGCACCGAGGATCACAGGATGTGATTGACTATCAATCGGTGAGCTCAATCTATCACACAGGATCCCAACCATCCCGGCCACAAACTGTTCTCCCCCTGCCCTCTGGCCAGCGGTACCCCACTATTACCACTAGACTCAAGAACAGCTTCTATCCCACTGCAGGACACATCCTCAACAGCTAACCGCAGGGCCTCAGACTCAATGCATGTCTGCATTCTGCACTTTTTGTATGGTCTACCATGTTTTGTTTCTCACTACTACCTATTTATTAATCCTGTTGTTCCTATTTATTATGTTGTAATGCACTGTCTGCTGTACTGTGTGTGTCCCGAGAGATCAGCGTGAATAAGAGTTCCAAAGTACATGTATATGTGCCAATAACTCCTCTACTACTCTGCTCAGCAGCTGAAGACAGGAGATGAGGCAAATTCAAATATCCAACAAGGGTGATCGCTTAATTAATTCTATTTTAAAACTCTTTTCCTTTCCACAGACAAGCACGCTGCTGAAGTGAGGATGGTACTTGCTGAGGGCAGAAACCATGTGATGAATACGTCTGATTACTCTTTTGTTCTGTGACTCAGGCATTGCTTTGCCTGATAACTGCTAATATTCTCTTGTCACAAACTTTCAAAATTCTTAAGTACACACTTGTCAAGTGCATGCCATGCAATGAATATGTTCTGTAAGTAATTTCACCATATTTAATCCATGGTTACTGTGTCAGCTCTTCCCATTGCAAGGCAAGTGCAATTTATTTACCATTTCAGGTAAAATATTTTACTATTTTAATGGTGGAAACACAGTACAATTGAATGTGACGTTATAATTACACTCTCTATTGCAAACAAATTTTGATTATGCTAAACAGTACTGGATATATAGTATGTATAAGTATTTTCTGTGTATTCAAATCTTCACTGTTGCAACTGTTCAATGGATATGACATCTTGTACTATAATCTAATTACTAAGTGGTTAGAAAAACAACTATTAATAGGTTAGAGCTCTTTGGCGTATGCCATCTGTAAAATAAAACTTCAGTAATCACTTTAAGAAAAAATTTAAATTCTATTCTAATAAACAGTTAGTAATGAGAATTCAAATTTGTTATGCTTAAGGCATTCAAGGCCTGTATCAAGTCAAGCTTTTTAAGGTCAGACCACAACTTGAAGGTCTTTTACAATGAAAGAAGGAAACCTAGTCCATTTCCTGTCAGACTATGAGTTTAACCTATTTCTTGTCATTGAAGTCACTGTTATCACCATGGCGACTGTCTAGCTATGCTGCATGCAAATTTTATCAAGAATCTGAAAGCTACACGAGAGAAACCAGAGCTGCTACAAGAAGCTCCTTAAATATAAGAAGAAGGAGGTCATGATTACCAAGAAAATATTTTTTAAAGTAATAATTGTACAAACTGCATGCTTTAAATGAGTCATTTAAAATAAGACAGGCAAATTCTAAGCAGCTTAACACATAAATTCAGATCACCAATGAGAAAGCTTTAGCTGCACTTTAGTTTGGTGTTCTGTATGCTAAAGTACTTACTATATGAGTATGTCCTGTGTGTGTCAAAGTCAGAAGAACAAGGAAATGTATTTACCTTTTGCTGTAATAGTAACGCTTAGATTTCCAGATGTATCATTTGCAATTTTATACCACTTATTGCCTGGACTTAACAACCACTCCTCCACCTGACAGGAATAGGTGCCCTGATCAGTCACTTCGGCCACGGGAATGGTCAGGCTGTAATTCCAGGGAGAAAGCCTGTTGAACACCAGGCTCTGTCTGGCTGTGGGGAGCAGCTGAAGGGTGGAACTTCGCAAGGCCCTGAAGATGGGCTGAGCATCCTCTTCTCCATTCCTCTTCAGCCACGTCACCTCAAAAAAGGACCTCTTGTCCGAATATGAGATAATGTCACAGTTTACTGTAAACCCACTCTGCTTTTCATTAATGCTGACCTTCTCATTCCTTTTAAAGACTTGAAGATTGCTCTCTGTGTATGAAATTGAACGCAGATCATGAGGTTAATCTTTTACCACTGGAGGAATCAGTCATGCCACAATGACGGTTTCATTATCAATGCCAAATGTCTGAACACTCTTTGTCAACCCAATATTTCTTGTACACCACCTCTGAGTAGATAGTAGAGCTAATTTTTATAATAAAACTTCAAATGAAGTCAACAAAAACATCTTGGACACTAACATCACACCCCACTCAATAAACAATATATATTTTAACACATCATCACAGACTGCAAACTGCCTGATAGTTACTGTTCATCCCTTTTGTGTACAGTAAGCATTACAATAAGCGAGCATGTGAAGAGCACTGTCCATTAATCTGTTGTCTTAAGTGAGAATTTGTCTTTCGGGAAAAATATCAGACTCACAAATCCAGGCTGTGCACTTTCATGTCTACAGGTATATACAGAACTGTTAAATAAAGTGCTGCGAACTATTAGTCATATTTCATGCTGAAAGAATAAGAACATCCCACACTTTTAAGACCTGCTAGCTAAGATGCTAGCAATGCGGTTAAACAGTAATGAATAATTAGGTAGATAGTGTCGTACCTGGATGATGTACAACAATGCTAGTAAACCCTGATTCATCATTGGAGAGTAACTGCCAGCGACGTTCACCGTCAAGCTCATACTCCTCCACCGTACAAGAATAATTTCCGCTGTCGGCCACATCGGCGTTCCGGATTACTAGGTGGTGCGTATTGCGAGCAGAGCTGTAAAATTGAGCTCTCTTCCAAAGCTCTTTATTTCCACCCTGAAGCACAAAATCTTTACCCCACTTCAGTAGGAGTGTCTTCTCAGAAGCTGCTGACACACGATACCAGGAGACAGAGAACTGGGACGTTTCTTGGACATCACTGTTGATGGTGCAGTTGACGATGAAGTCCTCGCTATCTCGTACCGTGATTTCTGCCCTTTCCTTCATGACTTTCAACTTTTTTTCTGCGGGAGGAGAGACATGTTCCCCAAACAGTTAGTGTTGGCAGGGGATTCAAGAATACCATGAAATCTGGGCGGCTGTGAAATGAGTCCAGGGGCCTGCTTCAGTTTGCTCTTTGTTAGCTTCATGTAATGGATCCTTCATGGTTCAATGAGATGCTTAATGAATATCAAATTGAAGCCAAACACCAAACCTCATCCACAGATAATTCATTTAATTATCTAGAATAATTGAAATTGTGACTTTAGAAACTAATACTTTTTCAATTGTAATAACACAGACCATAATACCAATTGACTAGCCTCTCACTGTTCTCATCAAAGCAGCAAATGCTTTGTCTGAAATTCATCAGTGCTTGATCCTCTTGTGTGTGTAAAACCCCTGACCTGCAGAAGTGTTGAAGAATTTTGAGTTTATTCTTTTGTTAAAAATAATTGCTTTAGAAGACCAAGGCTTAGTGAAAACTGATGGCACACAACAGTGTGACGTACCTGTTGATTTAATGGTGAGCTTTGTTGTAGAGGACCTCCGTGACAGTGAGTACCAGTTCATGCTGGGGTCTTGTAACCACTCCTCAACCTCACAGATGTATTTTCCACTGTCACTGAACTCTGTCTGCAGAATGAGCAGTTTGAAGGAATCTGGAGATTCCCTTTGGAGATGGTATTTATTTTCCCTAGTTTTCATAATCTCTCCTGGCTCCAGGATGAGGTTGCGGTCAGTTTTCAGAACACTTTGTTTTCCTGTCTCGGATTTGTTGAAATACCAGGATATGGCAAACTGAGAATATGTAGAAGTAAGACCTAATATTTTACATACTATTCCCACATTGGCATTTACAGTACTTTCTATTTCCTTGGGCTCACTGCTTATGGATAGCTTGCTGTCTGGAATAAGAAGAAAGGTCAGAGTATCAAGAGATTAACAAGTAGTAGGACACAGTTGTTTACTATGAAAATTGCAGATGTTTTAAAGGAGCAACAGTGGTGGTATTTTACAATGACATGAGACAACACTGTTCTTTGATTGGTCATTCTGAAATTAGACGTATGTTTCATACATCATTTCATAAGAGACACTTCAACAGTGTGACAGGAACAATTTATGTGTCAAAACTTACTTTCCAATTGGATTCAGTAAAACACAATGAAACCACAGAAATGTAAGCATAACATACACACATGTGAATATATACAGTATTGCTTAAAGAAGTAATGTGCAATAGGAATAATGTGCCCCAGCAGAATTGTATTGTGCCGAGATGGAGCCACTGCTGTGCTGTGATATTATCCCAGCTAAAGAAACATGCACACGTGTAATTGCACAAATGCAAAAAATTTGTTTATACCTGATTTGATATCACAACTGTAAAGAAAACAGTCATTCAATGCAAACCAAAACTGTCACATTAGTTTTGTGTTACAACGAGACTCTGTACTATTACAACAAGAGCTTAAATTGTGTTTCAGATTAGGATTTTTTTTCCTGAGAGTTACCAAGAGAACACATATCACTGTACAGACACACAAGGAATATGAGGAAAAATGCCACAACAGCATGTTTTCACTAAAAAAAAACAGCAAGGGTGTGAAACACGCTACTGAGTCACAAGTTCTCACGACAGCTTGAGGTGTTTTAAAAATGGTTGGACAAGACCCTCGAGTCAATTAGCTGCTAAAAAAGCAAACAAGTTAGACAGACCTAATGGCTTCCTCTCACTTGTCTCCTCGCTTGTAATAGGGCAGAAGGTCATTGGTGCTGATCTTCCAGCCCTCTCCTCCATCTATCATTCACGTGTTTTGCCTAAAGCTAAATTCATCTGTGATGATCCTTCACACCCCTTTTTTAATAATAACGCAGACACCGATTCCCCAACTCCAAAACCAACAGACTGAAGTTCTCATTCATACAGTAGCCATATCGTTTCTTAACACTTGTTTACACCAGTGTAAACCAAAACTTTTTTCTCTTTAACCTCTCTCTCATACAAATAAAAGAAAACACACAAACTTCCACAACATGACAATTTTCTCTTTTTTTGCGAACTAAACAGTTCTATACACATATAATACCGGTGTGGCTCTGTTACTGATTTTTTTTTATTTTCATTTTTTTAAGTTAAAAAGGATACAAAGGCAGGCTCAAGTAAAAAGAAAGAGACAGAATTCCGTCAACCGAATTCTATGCAAATATGTATATTGTTGTTCCTGTCGTTTTTTTTCTTCTGTTTCTCTGTACACCAACACTGCTGCTGTAAAACAACTTGCCCCTCCAGGGGTAATAAAGACACTCTCTCTCTCCTTTCTTCTTGTTTGTTGTATGTTTTCACTTACCTGGCTTTTTAACTTGCACTGCCAGTTCGTTGGACAGTTTCGTTGCTCTGAGGGAGTCCCTGAACCACGCTTCTACAACACACCGGTATTTTCCTGCTTCCACGGTGCGGCTTTTGGACACTTTTAAAATGGAGGTTATTGCATTCTGTTGCACCGAAGTCTTAATCTGAAAATTACTGAGTTCTTTATGCCACAAAATACTGCCATTGTAGAGGAGGGACACAATGTTCTCCAGTAATGATGAGCCGCTCTGTGCGAATGTCCAGGTAATGGACAACGGGACCTGGGGCCCCTTGACTGTGCAGTGCAATTCTAAGTTTTCACCCTCCTTAATATGCATTGTGCGACTTCTTAGAATTGCTTCTATAAGCGAATCTGAAAACAAAAAAGAAAATGAAAATTAATATCAACATTACAATCATTGTGTGAGCTTGAAGGCATCTACAGTAAATAGCTTACAGAAAGAAATATGATTGGTTTAAAAGAAATAATAGTTTTATATTAAATCCTCAATGACAAAGAATGAATTAAATAGAAACTTAATAAGATTTGTAATGTCCCACCTATGATGTATTTGTAGCCATTGCAGAAAGATTTTAAGTGCTGTTTTAAAACTGATTACATTTGGTTAAAAAATGATCAAAATGTAGTCCTTCTGCAAAGAAAATAATCTTGCAAATGTCAAAAAGACTCTTTTTGTATATTACATTTTAATCATTTAAATAATAAAGATGTATGAATTGTACAGCAAATATCTTGCCCTTAAGGATTTATTAACAGCATGAATTACACCCCAGAGCAGTTAGTTATGAAACAAAACAGATAAAAATAAATCTGTTTACTTGTGCTCATTATTTCCGCCATTCACATGCATTAGACATCTTCTCAAAATGATGTTAATGATCTAATCTTAAATAAACACATAGCCATAGCCATATTTGTTAATTCTACATCATATGTGAATAATGAAACAAAGTTAAACATCCAGCAATATGTCTTTGTTAAAGGTGATGTTAACTGGAAGTGCTAAATTGAAAGATGAGTTGGCAATGCCATTGACTAATTTACTGTGAATGAGTTTACTGTGCTCTGGGGTGGCACAGTGGTAACCATTGCTGCCTTGCAGTACTGGGACCCTGGGTTTAGTTCTGGACCTGGGCTGCTATCTGTGTGGAGTGTGTGTGGGTCTCCTCTGGGTGCTCTGGTTTCCTCCCACAGTCTAAATGCATGCTGGTGGGTTAATTGGCTTTTGGGCCGTGGTGTGAGTGTGTGCGTGTCTGTGTCTGCCCTGTGAGGGACTGGAGTCCTGTGCAGGGTGTATCCAGCTGTTAGAGGATGAACGGATGATTGGAGTTTGCTTCTGCCAACGGTTTCACATTGAAATCGTCTTCAACATTTCTTGAATCTTTAAGCAAATGCTTATATGGTCATTTGGAGTTATCAGTTTGTTTTCACATGCCTCGGCACACACCAAGGAGAGAATGAGGATAGTCAGATGCTCTTGTGACCCACCCACTCAGTGCAGTCACCCACATACTGCAAGCTCCTACAGAAGAGACAGCTCTGACTGGAGGGGCTGCACATCTCTCACTGATCTCAGTGCAATGCACCAGGCTACCTGGACTGTCGCGCGGCTGTTATTTTGTTTTGTTGAGAGCCCCGACTGACCACTGTACCTCCTGCTCTGCTCCCACTGGCTCTCCACTAACTGTGCATTGCTGCTTCGGGAATCCTAGACAGCCAGCCAGTTACAGTATATTAGCCAGGCTCAGACTCGCAACATCTGGGCTGCAGAGCTCAGCCTGAGCTTTGAGGAAGACTTATTCAAGTGAGCGGAATGTCAAAAACTCCAGGAATAATAATTTTTTTCAGAAACCTCTCACCGCGGGCAGCCCACTGAAGCTCGGCAGGTCTGAGCCTGGTCAGTACCTGGATGGGAGACCTCCTGGGAAGAGGTGTAAGTGGGGCCAGCAAGGGGTGCTCACCCTGCGGTCCATGTGGGTCCTAATGCCCCAGTATAGTGACAGAGACAATATACTGTAAAAAGGTGCTGTTCTCCAGATGAGACATAAACCGGAGTCCTGACTCCCTGTGGTCATTAAAAATTCAAGGGCGTTTCTCGAAAAGAGTACTGGTGTAACCCCGACGTCCTGGTCAAATTTCCCATTGGCCTTTACCAATCATGGCCTTCATCACTCTGTTCTCCTCCCCACTGAGAGCTGATGTGTGGGGAGTGTACTGGCACACTATGGCTGCCATTGCATCATCCAGGTGGGACTGCACATTGATGGCAGCAGTGGGATTTCCAATTACCTATAAAGCTTTTTGAGTGGAATGTCCAAAAAAACGCTTTGTAAGTTTAAGGAATTATTATTATACTTAAATTATTTGAATTTTGTAATTGTATTTATAAGAACAATATTAGATTAGTATTGTCTTTTATCAACTGTAAAGTCATTTCCAGCTAATTAGTCATAATGGAATATTATAGTAATATAGTAGTTTCTTTCAAATGTGAAATAATTAATTTCACACTGCCCCAAAATTCGTACAAGTTTGGGTTATGATACGGTATTTCAACCAACAAGAGATGAAAAGTCACAAGTTAAAGAATACCTACATGCGTTATGTCATGTATATAAATGTTGTAAAAGACTATAAATGTTTTTGTTTTTGCTGCCTTTATTACATTTCTCTGTAAAAGACATGGTGTTATTTTCCCGGAAAGCGTAATAATACTTTCTTACCTAGAGAACTAATAACCACGGAAGCCTCCTGGGACGTGCTCTGTATTTTCTGGAGGTCGCCACTGGGCCCTGCAGCCCACTCTGAAATGATGCACTTGTAGGAGCCCGCATCGGGCGGCAGGGGGTTGGGAATCTCCAGCAGGAAGGACCCCTGGTCGATCCGGACTGCGCGAACGTCTCCGCGCTGGCCGCGCTGGCGGTAATGAGCGCCCTCTTCCAGCCGCCCGTCCCAGCGCAGGCCGATGACGTCCCTGACGGTGTTCTCGCTGGTTTTGTGCTGCCAAGCGATGGATAACGGCCCTGTGGGTCCAGCAGCTCTGCAGGTGAGCTGAAGAGGCTCTCCCTCGTTGATCTGGATCGTGTGATTCGAAATACTGACTCTGAGGGTGCTCTCTGGGTCAGCAGAATATTGTTAGTTGGTGAGAAAGGTGACACGAAAGTGTATCGTACAACTGGGTGTTTAAGATGGAGTTTAAACTGCTTTAAGGGTCATGATGAGAAAATAGTAGTAATCTAAGTGGTTCATTTAAATCAATAATTGGCATAATTACATCAAATAGAGACAATACAAAAAAGTTAGAACAAAAACACATCGTTTCAGCTGTGGAGCCTTCTTCAGATACGGTAAATGTAAAATGATCTGATTTTTTCTTTTTATTATTCAGCATGGAAATTACTTGTTCCATTGTTTCACACACTGAGGCACTGTAGTTCTAAAAGTAAAGATATCCATTTCATGTAATACGATGTACAGTATTTTTTACTGGTAAAAAGAAAAAGTAAAAATAATACAGCTGGTGGAAAAACTAAAATAGTGTTTGCAACAGCAAGTCATTTTCTATTAATTAATTACATTTAATAAATTAATTAATTTTGTATCATTTGAAGTGATCTGATAGCAATGATAGCAATAAACTTTGTATTTTAAGTTGTTAGAAAATCTATGATCTACATCTGATACATGATACAGGAGTGTAGAGCCCCAACAGAGAATCCTATTTCGTCTGAGACTTTAACATATAAAATCAAGTTGTTGAAGCTTTAAATCTGGTTTATACCCTATTGTTTGAGGAGAGCAACAGCCATGGGAATTTTATATAAGTGAAGTTTATATAAGTTAAGTTAAACTCCTCAATGGTTAAGGATTGAAAATGGATAATTAAGGTTAAATAACTATGACTGAATAAAGTCATTAAAAGAACGAGCTCAGATGGAGCAAAGGCAGAAACAAGATCTTTCTAGCTTTCTTTCAGTGACTCACAGCTGTAACAGTTATACTGTAGCTAGACAATTATAGTTATAGCCAGAACATACTTTTCAGAATGCCAATGCATGTTTCGGTTTTCATTTCACCTTACTACGGTAACTTCCTAATTGAAACATCTACTATGTGCACTGAATAAAGGTTCTTTCGTTACGGTTTATTTAAAGCAAGATTATAAACCCTGCAGGACTGCGGCTCTCCAGGACATGGGTGCGCACTGTATAAACATATTGTATATTTTTGTTTTACCTTCCTGTGGTAAACAGAACTGATTGGAACACCCACAGACAGTATTAATGAAAACTGGTGCAAAACAAAAGACATTTCTGCTTTCTGAGGAGTTCTCTTTAAGCAGGTAGGCATTTGTGGGAATCAAGTATTGTGCATAAATATATAAATATATATTATAAATAAGATTGTGATCAAAAGAAGGGTTGTATATCCATGATCAACATCTTCTTAACAACAGTACCCTAAATGTCTTGTGAAGCTAGTGGTTCTGCATCATTAAGAGAACAAATACAGTACAAAAGCTTATTTCCCCTGATTCAAGATCATACTGTAGATCAGTATTTTCCAACACATCACCGTGGGACAACTAACTACAAATCACAGACACCAAATATGGCTTAAGTATGTCACAAACCTCATATGAGGCATACTTTAATATGTGGCTGACGCTTTTATCCAAAATGAATTACAGTACATTTGCACCCACTTATAGAGCTGGGCATTGTTCCTTGCTCAGTGGTACAACAGCAATATCACACTTCACATTTCCACAGTTCTCACAAAGGACCTAACCGAGGATAAAATCCGTAAGTTGTATAGGGTGTATTCCAAATAATAACCGGTTGGAAACTAGCTAATCTCTGTTTCTGAGATCCCTGGTGCGGGGTGAGAGAGGGCAGTCTGGGCTTTAGAAGGGCCAGAGTGCTGTTGATTGGCTCGGGTTTGACATCTCCAGTCTAACTGTGTGGTTTTCCGTTCAGTAAGAAACTTGGGGGGATGTAGCACTGAGGGAGGTTGTAGTAATTTGGGAGAAGTGTTATTGTCTTATTTTTCATTGGTTCTGTTGCAGATAATTTAAAAGAAACTTTTGTTCACAAAAATGCTTGATGCTATTTTAAAAGACAGCAGGAAAACGTACCTCTGGCAGTAACCCCCACTCTGATTTCACTGGATGTTTTGCTTTCCTTTACTGATAAACGTCCATCAGCGCCTTTTTCCTCTTCAGAAACTCTGCAGGTGAACACTCCCTGGTCCTCTGTTCTGATGTGTTTGATTGTAAAGATGTAATCTCTGTCACTTTGCTTGATGGCTTGCACTTCTCCATTTTTGTGTCTCTCTGCATAAGTATTTCCCACGATCACGACACCTGTGGGTCCGACTGCAGCCAGTTCCTGGCCCTCTTTCATCCAAGCCACCAAGAAGTAATGGTCTAGAGCTTTTGGGACTCCCACACTGCACTTAATCTCTAAAGTTTCTCCCTCTTTAAATTCTGGTCCTGAGCTTTCAATATGTGCAGTAAAAGTATCGGTGACAGATCCTACAAATGTAATAAAAAGATTTGTTACATTTCTATTAAAAGACATAGGGAGTGGAGTGAGAATAATAGTGCTTCAAGGTGAAATCAGCTCACCCAGGCTCTGGACATCAAGAGCAGTTGCCTCTGTCCTTTTGGAAGCGATTTTTATCCAGGAACGGTCTGGGTCTTGAATCCACTCCCCAGCTTCACAGTAAATGTCCCCCTTATCGGACGCCAGGAGCTTAGCGACTGTGAGTCTGTACAGGGTGCTGCCGATTTTATCGAGCCCGATGTGGCCTGACCTGTATCTGTGCTCAAACTCTGCTCCCGGCCTGAGGGTGAAGTCGCTCATCAGAGAGAGGATCTCGAGTGGCTGCAGCCCCGTCTTGTTGAGGTACCAGGTGACAGATGTGTGTGTGTGCTGTAAGGTCTGAGTCGACACCTCGCACTCCAGCTGCAGGGTCTCTCCTTCCTCCATATGAAGAGCCTTAGTAGTCATGGATGCCGTCAGCGTGTCTTGAATCACTGTAAAGGACATCCAGATCATTTACAATGACCTCTTCTATTCCAGCTTCAAAGCAGTAAACTAGCTGTATATTGTGTTATAAAAACAGCATTAACGTTTTAGTGTGTACTCTTCTTCACACATTGCAGGATCGAAAATTTTAAGTGTTTCAAAGTGATTTTTGGACTGTTATGTAAAAGACAGCAAATTTATTTTCTTTCATAATTTTTGTTTTTTATTTAGTTTTATCTTTTCTGTTCTAACGTTTTTCAGGAACAAATAATAAGCTTACAAGGTGTCATACATTTTTACATTCAAAAACATCTCCTTTGTGGCTCTTTAGGATTAAATTAAAAAATAAGGTCAAATATGTTAATAACTAGTTAAGCAAGATGGCTGCTTTATTCTTCATGATAATGTAGTAAAAATAATATTTTGTCTCCTCCATCAGATTCAGAGTAGGAGTGATAATACGGAGCTAACATGGTCATGGAATTAAGAAATTCATACACCTAAAAGTACTTCAGTTTACAGAAAACGTAACTTTCTTCAGTTAAATCTGATGTCTTTCCCAGGCAGTTGTCGCCAGGAAGTTATTATTCGAGGAGCAGGGAAGCAATAGGGAGCTCTGGTGAAAGAGGAGGGAAAGAATGAACGATCAGGCAAACGTAAAGTCTTAGGATCTAGCACATAAAAGAGGTGAATGGAAAAAGAGTGTGTCTGGAAGAAGGATAAAGCTGGTAGAAAACTTGAATGAAGAAGAAATAAAAGCATGGCCCGGGAATCTTCCTGAGAGGAACCTAGCCAACGCAGGGGTGCAGGGCGGAATCCTGACACACCTCCTCCTGGCTCGTCCAGCAGGGAAGAGCGATGCGGAAAGGAAGCAAGAATCACAGAGGAGAATGGCTGTGAAAAAAAATGTAGTTTTAGGTTTTAATTAGAGAGTGTGTGTGTGTTTTCCTGTGTTTTTATATCCTTCTGTTATATCCAGTCTGTCAACTCCATGACATGTCTACACTGGTGATATTAAGCTAATTGTTGCATAAAATAGTTTATTGCTTCACTTAGAGGACTGGCCAATCTTTGAAAGCTGCAGCGCAATAATTATTTTAAATCATTTTTTTTATATAATAATAATAATTGCTTACACTTATATAACGCTTTTCTGGACACTCCCCTCAAAGCACTTACAGGTAATGGGGATCCCCTCCACCACCACCAGTGTGCAGCCCCACCTGGATGATGTGACAGCAGCCATAGTGCGCCAGAACACTCACCAGATATCAGCTCTCAGTGGGGAGGAGAGCAGAGTGATGAAGCCAGTTCAGAGATGGGGGATTATTAGGGGGCAATGATTGGTAAAGGCCAGGGGGAAATTTTGCCAGGATGCCGGGGTTACACCGGGGTTACCCCCTTATATGTAGTTAGAGTTTTTCATCTTATAAATTCCAACTCCCCCAAAATCAGTGCTTTTACTGTATTTGTAATACGTTTTGTAATACCAAAGCCATGGTACAGTATATCAAATGTGAATGAGTGAACAAAACACAGAAATCATTATATGTTTTTGGCACCAAAGGTGACGGTGCTAAGATGCAACCACTATGAAACTACTTCTCGGGTACAGCTGCCCATATCGGTAACTTGTGGCAACACTGTTGCAATGACTCGATCGCAATGACAAGCTTAAGGCCCAGTGTGAGGTCTCTGCACATGTCGTCTGAGGTCAGATCTGTCAAGGGCATCCATCAGTACATAAAACAATTCACATCTTTCTCTAGCCCATGGAATACACAGAGTCAACTTCACAACTGTTATCATTTTCCCCGAATGGACTCAGAGCGCTCAGGCTGCTCTGCTCATGCAAGCACGATTTCTAACTGGAAGTGCCTGCCGTAGCCACATTCTCCTGCAGATCTGTCAGGTAGATGTGATGGCTCTGGACCACTGCAGTGACCCTCTTCCTTCCAAGATGTGGCCTATCCCTCTCAGACCCAGTTTCTCTGTTTCTCTGTACTAATCCGCTGACTGATGATGTGGAACATTGTGTTCTCTGGGTCTCTTCTCTCACAAACAGGCTGTCGTCAATCAAGCTGATCACTGCCAGGCAATCTTCAGGAAAGCAAATGAGGCATGGTGGGACCTTTTGCCATTCATACATTAATTAAAATCATGTTTTCTGAAGGGCTCTTGGGGCAGATTCTTAATCAACTAATAGTAAGAATTATATCTCACCTCAAATATTGACTACTGAGTACCTGGTATCTTAATGAAATCACATGACATGAGATCACTGTTGTGTTATCCCAAGAAACAATACTACCTCAAGAGTCAGCAAATCTGTCAGGCTTGAAGGTGCCTTATCAGCTATTGGTGTCAATCGCACACTGTTGTGTTTTTACTGTGCACCAGTTTGCTTATAAATATATGTATATAAAGTAATAGCACCCACAGCAGCCATTGGCAATAGAACTGAAAAAACTTACCTGTGAGGTTCATTTTGGCACTGTAGACCCCATGAAACTTTCCATCAGTATTTGGAGTAAAACACTCGTACTCTCCTTCATCACTTTCATGCAGATCTTTGATGTGCAGCAGTACAGAGGAACCCGTTTTTCTCTCAATTTCAATTTCTTTATCCTTTACTCTCTGAAAATAGTTAGCATATGCGATTCCAGGATTTTGTGTGCTGATTATTTTTATTTCTTGCTCCGGTCTTTCCTGAAGGTAGATGGAGAACTCAAAATCTTGTTCGGTGCTTCCTTTAAACCCGCTGACATTGCAAGCGATAGTAATTGGATAACCTCTGGCTCTGTATAATGGACCCTCCTGCATCTGGACCAGTCTCTGGCCTGCACAGCAATCTAGTGAGACAGAAATGCAAAAATAACAGTTGAAAGTTTTTATACATGATATTGGTTTATGTATAATTTCAATTATATATTCAACCATAAACTGAGGGATTGTGATCTACTTCTAGTTTCTACTTTTGAGTTACAGTGTTAAACATTTCAATCGCAGTCATTTTTCAATGGAGTATGTACAGTATGTGTTATTTCTCAAGGGGTTCATAAAGGGAGCTCATCAGCACACAGGTTACAAAGGAACAAGCTGAGGTTCATTCCATAATGAAAAGTAGAAGGAAAAAGCACAATATTATAGCTCTTAGGCCTTGTTCAGATATAATATTCAACAGGCATAACATTGTGTTTTCTTGCTTTCAACTTTTCAGTATGAATTTAACCTCTACTTGATCTTTTACAAATGTTGATGTTTTGCATTAGACATCTTCTGTTCTGACGTGGTATACCAACACATAACACGTAGTAATATACTGTATGATGTTCACTACATTTCCAATAATTCCACAATATCAAAACAAAATGAATAAAAAAAGATCACTAAAATTCTAAAATCTGTTGTTAACAATACAATTATTTCATAGAGAGACCACTAAGACAGAGGAGCTCGTAGTGGGTTTTTCTCTATATTGAACTACAGAATAAAATATTTCATTTTCAAAGGCTGAAGTAAAGAACCCCAACAGTTAATTATGTATTAAAACCTTCAGAGACTAAGAAGGATTTGCGAAAACTCCTATTCCCATGGGGATGATGAGGTGGGTCACGCTCCAAATACAAGTACTTCACCTGATAAAGTTTAAATGGATCAAGCTGAACCCCACGAATTATTACATGTACTGTGCGACGGTGCAGGCGAGCAGGTGAGCAGGACTTACCCCATTGCAGAAGCTCAGCAAGGGACCACAGAACAAATATGCTACAGTGATTCATAATAAGAGCTGAGCTCTCCATCCTGCCTCGGGTTTGAAAAAAGCCAAGTATTCGTGACAGTTCAGGCGACAAGACCTCTTTCAGAGGCGGGAGGAAATGATTAGATGCGGTTAGTTTCGTCTAGCGCTCAGAAAGGGGAAAAAATTTAGCAACCAGCCCAGACGAGTTTCAAGTCTCAAAGACTATTGTGTTCATATTGTTGCTTTTACTCTTGTGCCGTGCATGTACCCTCAGACCCTATCCGGCATGTCGACACTTTCGCTAAACTGCTGGTTTAGTCGCACTTTATTTTGTCATCACCCAGTAGGCAGTAGAAGGACGGGAGAGTGCGGGGGGTAATTAAGAGGGGGGGTCGGTGTGTATTGGCCTTCTTTGCTTATTTTATTTTTCATAAATTAAACAAATGTTACATTCTAAGATCACCGAGCTAAATATATTTACAATTAAACTAATCGCGTTTAAATAACCTTCCACACTACAGTTTCAAGACGTCCTGAAAGTATATATTGTTTACATTATTTTTAATCTCATTTTGCGAATTCGTTTTTTTCATACTGGATATGAATCCAGTAGCTCAGGCAATAATTAATTATATTTGTCGTGGTTTTTTTGTGTGTGTGTCTTTAAGTCTAGACCAGATGGAGACAGTAGTCTTGAAATCAGCATCTCCTTGTTGCTGTGATGCTGTTTGAAGTTGCTCGAAAGGGGAAGCGAGAGAGCAGGAAGCAGAAGTAGGGTAACGAAACATCACCGCACCGCTGATACCAGGCGCCGGGTCTCAAGGCCAGCCGACGGATTTTATTGATGTGTCACTTCTCCAAAATTATTTCTTTTCCGGTTTTTATAACGCAATTCCTTTAAGATCCTGGCTGTTGCCTTAACTTTCCTTGCATTTGATGTCTGAAGAACTAGTAAAAACACTAGGACGCTAAAACGGGCAGCAGACCGTGGACTGCCTGACAAAACTGTTAGTTTCATTTTCAGAAATGAACTCTCTGTCTCTTTGTGAATGTCTGTTGTCTTAATTTATTTCCAAATTATTATTTTAGCTTGGTTTTTTTTATATTGTTTAGCGTCAGGAGCAGAGCAATAGGTATGAGACCCTGAACATGATCCCTTATAGTTTAAATATATCTTTAGCCCTACTTTTGGATTTCTTACTGACGCATGTCACAGAAGACTCTCATGCGAGCACTATGACACTGCTGCTGTAAAACACCACCACTTCCGTTAGACGTTTAATTTCACGTCTCACGACCGCTTTCGACGGCCACAGCGGGTGCTGCACAAGTTTCATAGCGCACGGCTCACTTTTTCTTAGGCTTTCTACCCTCTCTCCTCTCCCTTCACGCAGAACGGTCGAGGCATTTGTCAGGTGTTGGAGATGGAAAGGTCATCGCCTCTCTGACAGGGCTGTCCTGCTCCTGGCCGTGGAGAGCGCCAGTGACGACGACACTGGGGCTGAAGCCTGTCACGTCTGCATACAGAACAGCTGGTGGCTTTTCCATACGTGTGTTCACAGGGAGATCATCCCTAGTGGATCAAAGAATATGGCCAGACTGAGGTGGTACACTTAGCGTTAGGATTTTGTTTTGAAATGTGTAGTTAATTTTATTTTATTTTTACTGTATTTGTGTATATAAGATTGTTTTCGGAGTGTTCAAAACTGGGCTTCAGCAACTGAATAGTATGGCGGGCTTTTGTAGAATAGAGCTGTGAACAGCGGTGTTAAATTGCTTTCTTGCTTTGTGGTATAAGGCTGTCTAACCCTTTTCCTCAAAAGCACACACTCCTCTATTTGCAGCTGCACATCAGAAGGTGCTAAAAACTAAAAGGCTTCCATTTCTCTTCAGTGGCCTCAATGGCATGAGAACTGCTAGGCAGCCAAAACTCAGTTATTATGCAGACATCCTAATTATAAATGACCATTATTGATTACAGGGAGTTATAGATCAATTTCTTGTAGTAGGAATTTGTCTTTTCCACATACCCCAACTTGCTCTCCATGAGACACACAGACACAGAGAGAAGCTTCAGGTCACGGTGCAAGGTCAGCCATTTATACGGCGCCCCTGGAGCAGTTGGGGTGAAGGGCCTTGCTCAGGGGCCCAACAGAGTAGGATTCCTCTGCCAGCCGCAGGATATGAACCAGTAACCTTCCAGCCACAGGCGCAGATCCTGAGCCACAGAGCCACCACACCACCTGTTTCTGGTACATACAAAATGTAAACTGGCTCCAGACAGTTGCCAGACAGATGATGTTGTCAGCTACACAAGCCCACACTTGTATCATCGAGTTACATATTGTTCAAATGGAATAGGAACAAAGACAAAACAGCACTTCTTATTATTCATTGGCAAGCTTACCTTTGAATCAGATGCTGAAAACAGTAATAGGGCACAACCGTGATGAAAATTCTAATAAACACATGTGTTTTGTTTTATTTATTTATTATTTTTTATATGCCCAGCAGCCATTTCACCCTGCAGCCCACTGGAGCTCAGCAGGTGTGAGCCTGTCCAGTACCTGGAGGGGAGACTCCTGGGAAAAACTAAGGAAAAACTTGAGGTGGAGCTGCACACTGGTGGTGGAGGAGGAGATCCCCATTACCTGTAAAGCACTTTGAGTGGAGTGTCCAGAAAAGTGCTGTATAAGTGTAAGGAATTATTATTAAAAATGTATTGGTATTACAGTTTTACTTCACAATTGGCTGAATGTCTTTTACATAGCGTGCTTTTACACAAAAATATATATATATACTGGGTAAGACCCTGCATTCTGACCCCAAGCTTCTCTCTCTGAAAAGACAAGAAATTGGATATGACCAGTAAAGTGTTCTTATCTTATATATCACCAGATTTCATAGCTGTGAAAAGAGCAGAAGTGGAAAAACTACACAAACAACAATAGATTCTGTAAACTATTTCTCATACTAAAATGAGGTAGTTGATCTGAAAAGCCTATATATGAACTTGTGTTCTGGTGCCCTTATCAGCTCAGTCGAGATAGCATTAGCCACAAGTGAGCTGTCTTTGCAATGCCTCCTGCACAGTCTTGGCTCAGAGACGTTAAATACTTAATGTGCATACTGCAAATGCATTTAAACTATACCAGTAGCTGCAGTAAAGAATGCATATGTTGTATTTTTTGTTCTAATCTGATTTCACCGTGCCAACTGAGATTTGCGTGTTGTGGCCCTTAGTGCTTGTATAGGCTAACACCTTTTCTTACCACTGTGTTTAAATTCACACAGACACCGAAGGTAAGCTCAAACAGGAACGTGGCGAAATTAAACTCTTGAAGGACATAGTCTACATTCTGTCAGAAACATAGACTGCTGCTTAAGAAAGACTAAGACAATCTGTAACTCCTTTTTTTTGCTTTACATATGTCCAAGACGTTTTACTTGGTTGTCATTTTTTAGTGTGATTTCACGGGTGCATTAGTGTACAGCTGCTGCTTATACAGTACTTTTATTTCTATAGATTTTTTTTTCTTCCCAAACATTAAGTGCTGTATAACTAGTTATTTCTCCTTTTGTTTATTTATACCTACTGAAATAACAGGGTTCTGGTTGTTACTGTATGTGCCACTGCTGTGTTCGACTTGCGCTTGGAAGGATACATAAGAATTAGCATGTTTAGATTACTTTACACTCTACGCTTATTCATCATAATCAAAATGTACATGAGACAGAGAATATGTTCATTTTTAAAGTCAGCAGATTCATAGGGTGTTTAATTAAATTAATATATATTTCCAACTGTGAGGGAGATGCTTATTTAAAAACTGACAACAGGAAAAGGTTTAATACTCTTCAAAATAAGAAAAAAACACTCCAACCAGTACAAAATCCCCAGCAGCCATATATGACATGGATGTAAACTAAAACAGTCAAGGTATCTACTTGGAACTTAAAGTAATTTGATTTCAATTATTTTTATTATATCAGAAACAAGATAATATTTTTCAGTCTTTCATTGACAAATAACTGTAATAGTAGTTCAGGTGGGGAGCTGCGTCAGCATGCATAGTCTGCAGAGGAACAAGTAAAGGTTTATTCCATGTTGGAAAGAGAAGAGAGAAAATGCAACGTTTCAGACCTGAAGAAGGCTTCACAGCCGAAACGTTGTGTTTTCTCTCCTCTCTCTTCAGCAGGGATTAAACCTATTGACTGTAATAGTTATAGCTTGATTGGTGATAAAATAGTTCTTTCTGCATGCTGCAACATGCGAAATATTTCATTTCACCTTATTTACTAACTTCCTAATTGAAACATCTATTGTCTGTACTGAATAAAGGTTGTTTCATTGTGGTTTATTTGAAGCAAATTTACAAAAACCCACTAGGCTGTGGCCCTCCATGACTTCAGTGTGAATATATCCTTCAGTTAACCTTTCATTGGCAAGGTGAAATAAGGAGTGAATTGTTATGGAATTGATTGGAACACCCACGCATATTGTGCATGAAAACAGGTAGAAAAAGAGAAGATATATTTCTTTTTTCTTAAAAATTGTGGGTTGGGAAAAATGTTCTTTTGTTTTTTTTTGTTCTCTTTTGGAAAATTTGTCACAAAATTTTTCACAAAAATGCTTGACTCCGTTTTTTTTTTCTGGACCAGAAAAACTCACCTTTGGCAGTAACTCCCACTCCGATTTCACTGGAGGTTTTGGAATGCTTCCATTTTTCCCTTTTAAAAACTCTGCAGGTCCTCTGTTCTGATGTGTTTAAAAGAAGACGTAAAGACATAATCTCTCCTTTTCTGTCTCTCCCTGTTTAAGTATTCCCAACAAACGCTACACCTGTGGGTCCAAGTCGACCCAATTAACAGCCACAAGCACATTAGAATTCCACAGCCACACTGCAAGCCAGCAATGCTAACTACTGTGCTGCCAGGCCATCTCCTTTCCACCTCTTAATATCTTTTTTAAAAACAGGCATATGTGGCAAAAGAGAAGTGACATACAGTACACTGTAGTAATAAAGAAACACATCTATTTTGCCATTAAATAGTTTTCACTGCATGCATTTGTGAATGATAATACTCTGTGCATTTTGATGATTAGGGACTGAAAGCACTAACATGATTGTAGGAAGGAAAATATATTGTATTTCTGTGGTTTATCAACCATTCTTGCACATTACACATTGGTGAAAAAAATATTTGAACTATGCTTTTGATTTTTCTCAATAATGTACCTCCTGAATTACAAAAATCTGTAATTACTACTACAAAGGAGTTTCAATAACTAAGGTAACAGCAGCTCTCGTGGAAAACATTATTCATAAACATGTACAGTAATAGAGCCTTTCAAAAATATTTAGACTCTTGCTCAGTTTTCACCTTTTGCTGCTTTAAAGCTTGCA